GCATCACAGTGCAGCAGTCACGTCCGTGCGGCTGATACTTTCTCTCGCTTTCCTTCTCATACTACCTGCCACTTTCCCTCTAATCTTCCTGTGGTTATTGTTTCTCTGTTTTTCTCCCGGCCGTTTTAAAAACATTTTAGGCTCGTAAAAGTTGAAACACCGCTCTCTGCCGCTGCAGAATGTAGTGGACTCAGCTGGCGGTCCGCTCCGGGACTCAGTCAGCATTTCATCCAACTTTGCATTAACAAAACAATTTCACAACAGACCCTGACAAAATCCCAAACACACAAATCAAATGATTAAAATGAGTGACTTACTTTAGCGCTGTCAAAACACTGCTTCTTGAACGACTCTTCTTTGCAGATGAAAAAATCCTTCGATTTGTCCCGATGCAGAGGATGTTTTGTTTGGAGATGCCGGTCCAATTTATTCATTTTCAAGCTTTCGTTACTGAGCACCTCTCCACATAAAACACACTGAGGCCGCTCCTCTCCATTTCTAACAGCTTTTGTGAAGCCAACGTTTAAAAACTCCTCTTTGTATCGCCTTTTTGCCATCATGTACGATCGGGATTAATCAACAGACAATAAACAATAAACAGATGGCGCGAAAACTTTCACAGGGGACGCGTCAGAGCTGATACAAATACAATCTTTTATTTTTAGTTTATTTGTATTTAGAAAATTAAATCATTCAATATACGATACTATATTGCATAATTTCATTTTCAAAATACAAAAATTATAAAAAAATTGTATTTGCAACGCAGCCATCAGCTCTGACACTGTGTGTGTGAAGCAATGCATTTAACATGGCGACCCAATGAAAACGGGTCCCTGAGTTTGGGAAAGGCTGATTTAATGTAACAAGTAATGTGCAATGCATTACTTTTTTTGAGTAACTACCCCAACAACAACACTGGTAATCTGATTTGCAGGGTGCTATCAAAAAAGGCAGGTGCATTCAATCTTGTATATTAGGTGTGTTTGTTCAGACTCAGTATAAACTCTGAGAATGTTTAATGCAAATTGTGTAAATGAGGTTCACTGAATGACTCACTGTCCACCAAACAGCTGCATGCCCAGCAGAGCGAACACCACGATGAAGAGGAAGAGGAGGAACAACAGGCTGATGATGGACTTCATGGAGTTGAGAAGGGATACCACCAGGTTCCTCAAAGAATTCCAGTACCTACACACACAGATATATAAAACATAATGATTTAATGATATCCCCCAGGTGCCCAGACTATTAAAAAAAGTTAAAACACTTTCAGCAAGATAAATGTATATATCCAATTCCCGCTGCATTGTTTACAAATATATATATATATTCTGTGGTATAAGACGTTCAATCAAATAAGGTTCCCACATCTATGAACTCCTCTACTGTTTCAACAGCTGGTCATTAAACAGAACAGGAGGAAAATGAGGGGCATTGCAGTGGGTTACAACAATATAATATAAAGTTAATATAAAATGCACTTTATATCATAAGCAGTGTTTCCAGCACTCTGGCAGGATACTCTGAAGACTCACTTGGTGACTTTGAAGATCCTGAGCAGCCTCAGAGCTCGCAGCACACTGATCCCAAACGACGCGTCAGGTTTGATGGCTGCCCAGATGACCTCAAAAATGCTGCCGATAATCACCTACGAAGATAGTTTCCATTTCCAAACACTGCAGTCATTTTGCTTTTCTAGCAACAGTCAAACATACAGTACTTCCTTCTGGAAGCACTCGTCCTGGATTGTTTGAGTGACTCGACACATGCTCACACTAAGAGCCACCAGGGAGTGACTGAACATGAGACTCACCCCAAAGTCAAAGCAGTTGAATGAGGAGTGGAAGTATTTCTGGGGTCCCAGGCCGTACATTTTCATGGACATCTCTGCCAGGAACAGGCCCAGGAATACAAACTCGGCCAGATCTGCCAGGGGACGATAAGGAAACACAGATCAAGGTCCCGGGCTAAAACACAATTCTGTACAATTCAATAGAGCAGCTTCTGCTGGCTCTTCAGCTGTGCCCTCAGCAAATAGGACACAGAAAGAGTCTATTGTTTGAGAATATAATGCTGCATACTGCCATAACAGAGTGGGTAGGATCTACTGTATGTTTGCTAACATGTGTTAATGAAATGTAAAATGGTACCTGTGTGATGTATGTTTTTACATCTGTCTACACTCTGTTTATCCAAAGCATGACACCAAAGGCTTTTTGTATGCATGAGCAGATACAATTTTTTTCTTATATCCCACTAGGATTTTTTGTCAAAGTTTGGGAGTTCAGAACCTATGAAGTCTGTAATACATGTGTGTATCCAAAAAAAACTAAACTCAGACCCTTCAGGACAAAGTGTCAATGAATCCCATTAAAACTGTTATTTCAATGCCATCACTATAAATTCATACATATGATACCTATGATATCAGGCTGTCAATCAAGTTCAAGTTCAAGTTGTAGTTTTTACTATTTTCCACCGGACTGAGCCACTTTCTCATGTCTGCCCTAAAGGCAATTGCATGCCATTTGTCCTGGTTTCCACTAGGGACGTTGATGGCATAGGGTAAACACTCCGTACATTAATACATATTAGGTAGTTATGATCGGTAAGGATTATGGTTAAAATGTAATTCATAATAAAATATCCATATCATTTTATGGCAGCATTTTTTTGGTCCTCTAAGGAAATGAGAGCAGCTTTTTTTGTATCAAGTGAGGCACAAATGGTTTACACGAAGCTGCCTTCACAGAGAGGAGATGTTCTCCTGCCTCATCACGAGGTCGGGCAGAGCCTTTAGGTGCACACAGATAGTTGCTGTTGTTTCTATGGTTACCTGCACTGTTAGCTTGTGCACTTTGAGCACAGCACTCTCTGCACATTCCCAGGAAAACATCCGTAGAGCCAGTGCAGAGCGGATTGACTGCTTCATGTGAAGGCAGCTTCAGAGTATCACACACAGAATGAGCAGGTGCATACAGTATCATTATGCAGACCAGTCTACGTTACAGCTGCATAACATAATTGTATAGTGCTGGGCAACGATTACAATTATTAATGTAGCAATGACCCATGTTTGTCTGTATGTGTCTTCAGAGCCAGTGAGCAACGGACTTTCAAAATAATGACTGTTAACACGCGATCAAATAATTTTCGGCATTATTAACTGAATTAGTTAATGTGATAATAACGCGTTAACTTGCCCAGCCCTAATATTTTACAATAATTAGCATGTATAGAGGCTGTTTTTTAAACATGTGAATGGTAAAATGAGGAGCTACACAGTGCTGGACGCAGTTCTGTGGAACCTCTAACCTCTCTGTGAGGGTGGAGAGATCCAACAGAGGAGAGCCAGTACTGTAGAAATATGCTTGGTAATATAAATAGTTGCACCATATGGGAATATTGTTTTACATGACATAACAGACAGTGTATAAACTCACACAGAGCGAAGGTGAGCCACTCCGGCTGGTCGTAGTGAACGATGGCCACACACTGCGTGTTGAGGCCCACCAGACACAGCACGGTCCAGTAGAAGCTCTGGGACTTCACCAGGTGGCGGATAGTGAAGCGGAGCCTCTTCTCCTTCCTCCTAAAGTACGACGAGTTCTCGTTCTTGCTCTTCAAGCTGGCCCGGGCGAACGGAGACCCTGGGGGGGCAGTTGGAGCAAAACATACAAAATGCAATAAAGTTACCTCGTCTTAAACCAAGGAGATCAGACTCTGTTTGAGGGCAGCTACTTTCAACCTGAGCCTTGTTTTATAACAAAAGTAGGGATGTCACAAGAACTGATGCTGTTGTTGTTCTACATTCTTCCATGTTACACAAGTACCAGGGATATAATTCTTCCCGAGTTGACGGGGCAGCACAAATGCAGCTGCAGCTCTGCCCACTCTTCCAAAAGTGTGTTTGTTTCACACAATGAGTATACAATTCACACTTAGCAGAGACATCCAAGATTGTTGAAATAATTTTTTTGGTATTGGTTTACCCTAGTTCTATCGTTATGGCCCTAAACACACTAATTCACTGCAGAGAAATGTAATTGTTAGATTGAAGATGGAATTTATGGGAAGAACCATAAGAACAAATGTAATAAATGTGATATAATAAATGTATAAATGTTCTTAAGACTTATCTCAACCGCAGCTTTTTCATGTGAGGACTTTTCATTATCTTTTGGCTTTTAAAATCGTAGCGCCATGTTGTTCACCACTGCCTTTAGGCTGTTCTATAATAAACCTTCTGTAACTTAAATTAAACCCGAATGTCAAGTATGACTGGATTCAAAAGGGAGTGAGAAAAAAATGTGATATTATAATTGCATTAGCAAAGGAAGAATAGTGTGTGTGTGTGTGTGTGTGTGTGTGTGTGTGTGTGTGTGTGTGTGTGTGTGAAATAAATAGGTTTGCTTGTATCAATCATAACCTTTCTAAATCATTCAACTACAAAACAATGTTGATATTATAATTGCATTAGCAAAGGAAGAATAGTGTGTGTGTGTGTGTGTGTGTGTGTGTGTGTGTGTGTGTGTGTGTGTGTGTGTGTGTGTGTGTGTGTGTGTGTGTGTGTTTGTGTGTGTGTGAAATAAATAGGTTTGCTTGTATCAATCATAACTTTTCTAAATCATTCAACTACCCATATCTGACAATATCTGCAACTTCTTCACATTAAAGGTACATTTGTCATGTCGCCGGATTGGAAAAAAGTGTATTCCTTTGTTCTTTGGATGTAAAGGATATACTTGAATTAATGGATAATTTACCTCTACTGTCTCCAAAAAACATTCAAATAAAGAAAGGAAGAGGAAACCTTTTTTTTAAAAACATGTTAAAGTGTGTTTGCAGAATGTGTGGATCCACTGAATATACTGATAAAAAACTCTTAAAGTATAATATTTTCAATGTGGCCTCTTGGTGCAAAGATATTTCAACTCAACAAAAAAGTTCACTACGAGAGTCCATTTAATACGTCTGACAATCTGTCACAATCTAGCAAAACAGCATCCTCTCTGATTGTAGTGTGAACTACAGTGTGATTGTATAGTGTGATTGTAGTGTTGCCTTCAAACACAGTGTGAGGGTCTGACAATAACAGATCTGGTGTCTCACCAACAGATGAGATGTCAGTGAAGTTGTCCTCGCCCTCTTCAGCATTGATGAGGTCATTCTTACTCTTCTTGGTTCTTTTGAGCACTGCATCAGAACATGGAAAGAAACAGCAGAGTCATGAGGCAGCTCGTCTGAACCACACTCTTCTGTTAATGTTAATAAGGAAGATTGTTTCTCTTCCTTTTTCATTCTTCTTTTCATCATTTGCTTTCATCACAAAGGTTTTAAAAAAAAATCTTAATTAAAGTTTCATATGTCGCCATGTCTGACCAGTCCCATTTATTCAATATCAATCCCTTCGTGTTGGACTATAGGGCACTAAAATAAAGCACAGGTCTAATGAGTAAAACCACATTTCTGTTTTATCTGAGGAAATTATATGTATAGAAAATAAAACAACAAGAAAGGAACCTATATCATATATATATAATCTTATATTTAGGGCTGAAACACTCTTTAGGTTTGAGCCTTTAGTCATCAAAACAAGACATCTAAACATAAATCAACTTGGGCTCTGGGAACCAGAACAATTGCTACTACTGACATTTTATGGTTTTAATTATAATAATAACTGGCTTGATGAAGGCTCTTTAAACAGCGTTATTAGTGGTTATCAGAACTATAGATATGTGCTGGAAAGTCTTGTTACTCCTATGAGTAGATTCAAAACGCAGTAATATTCTGACAGATACAAAACAAGAAGGTCAGAGTAATTTACACTACAGTTTGTCCTGTTTGAAACCAAAGGTCATTGTTCAGTTATTCTGAAGCAGCCTATTAAGCAAAGTTATGTCATGTACGTAATTTAACAAACATAGAGATTCTTATGTTGAAATGTCTTTTAAATAACCGTGCATTTTGGAACATACATCTTATCAAAAGAGAAACTCTGAAGCACTAGAGTGGAAGTGAAAACAGCTGATAGGAGCAATTTAAAGGCCTTGGTTATTAAATAAACAGTTTTTACACGACATTCACTATCATGGTGAGAGAGTGAGGGCATCTAATATATAGCTGCTGGGTATATGACAATAAAGAGAGGGCCTAAATATATTAGGCCCTCTCTGAGGGCCTAATATATTCTAAAAAATAATATTTGAAAAATAATTTTTTTAAATATTTCTTTAGTTATATTTTTCATTAGTTTTACCAAAATAACTTGATTTAATTGTATTTCAAATAACATTTCCAAAGAAATAAATCCTGCAAATCTGCCTGTTCAGTTTCGGTTGGAATGTGAAGGGTTGAATGAATGAAGCTCCTTTGGCCCTCTCTGCAATTTACTGTGAAGATATGATCGTTGGTCCAGCTGTAAATTCACAGAGGGCCAGCTACAGTAACTGGGTGGGCTTTATTTTCGCGGACTTTATGACAAGTTCCGCCCGCTGTGAAGTTTATGCATGTGTGTTATAGAGTGGTGCAGTGACACGTCCTAAAACCCGGAAGTAAGCTGCGCATGGGTTCCCTCGACAAAAAAGCAATGGGATTTCTCCATAGGATTTGTGAAAATAGCTCGAAATAAGGTCTGTGGAAAACGAACATGTTATATAAATGCACGTTTTGTTCAGCCGGATAATATCCACATGTCTATGCTACTTTTATAATTTTATAATCATAATTCTAATCGATAGATTTATGATCGATAGATTTATGATTAGCATAAGTTTGTTCATGATGGCTCATGTCAGTGATAGTAATGACATCGTTGCGGGAGGGCCTAGGTATAAAGGTCAGTGCTCGCCACTGTGTTTTACAATGTAGCACAGTTCAGTTGTACTCTTAAGAGCCATAACAAATCAGGCAGAGAATCTGAACAGAGAAGAAAAGAGCTCTAAAAGTTGTGTGAAGGACCCTCACTCTCCCACGCTGCCTCTGAACTCCAGTGAGCCTCCCTCTCTGAACTCATTCTAATCTCATTACCCTCCCACCCCGGCACCATGATCACTGTGACTGTTACAGTGGAAGAGAATTCACACACACACACACACACACACACACACACACACACACACACACACTCAGAGGGGAATGCCAGTGGAAATGACCTGTGTATCATCAACTAGAAGCTGGTGGTAGGTCTAACAGTAGGACAGCTACCCATCAAGTACTAATACTGTGAATTACTAATGGTAAATGCACTTGCATTCAAATGGCACCTCTCTACAATGTTGTCCAATTAAAGTGCTTTAAACCCTCTGGTCGTGTTTCTCCCCCCTTACTTTGGTTTTCCCGGTCACATTTGACCGGTCTTTTTTATTGCTCTTACATTAACACAAAAACCTTTAATCATCACCAAATGTTATTGAACACCCTATTGAGCTGTAAACAATGTCAGACTACTGGTTCAAATGAATAACTGCAGTAAATAAAGAATATCACTGAAAATTCAAAAATGAACATCTAGTTGATTTGTGGGTGTGCACTATCTGATGAATGACCATAATCTAGGGTTACCGATTAATTTCCTATGGGGGTCATTTTTGACCATCAACATCATAGGTGTTAAAGTTGACTAAAGCACTCAAAATTCAATGAAAGTGGGGAATGGGGACCAGCAGTTTTATATCCTCAGATACCTGCTGTGGAGGATATTATAAGGCCTTGAAGCAATCAAATGTAAAACACAATATTTATTATTGATGAAAGTAGTAAATCGGTCAGATTTGACCCAAACACGAAAGGAGGGTTTAAATATTTACCTGCCGATATGTACCTCCACACATTATACATTGATGGCAGCGCTGTCATCATCTAGTAGTCTCTAACGGACCATCATCCATGATGACTGACCCACTCTGAGTGTGTTTAAATACTGTACTAGTTAAGGCAGGTGAAAAGGACTAGCACTGAGTGACTGGGTCAATGTGAGCTCAGTGATGTTGAGCTTCACAGGGAGGAACAATGTGATAGGCTTTGTTTTCACAGGAGACATTTTGACTTTAAATAGAAACAATTACTGGAGGCTCTATTTATTTAAGTGATTAGCTGATTTAATGTAATATTATGTAGCAGTTTATTATCAAGTAATACATATTGCATTTTATAGGGATTATAGAACATGGGTTGTGAGGCAGACTTTCAGGAGAAGTGAAACAACAAGTTCTTTACACAAAGGCTTTGCAAATTGGGAAGAAGGAAACACATGCACAATGTGTGTATCTGTCACATTATCAGCTGAAAGCACAATAGGTTGAAGCCTTGTTATTCATAATCTTTTACAGTATGGGCTGCTCTCTAAACTGTCCCTAGACTTTAAGACAATGTGTTTCTCACCAGAGTTGGTTTGTTTCCTTTTGTACCACGCTCCATCCAGAGATTTCTCTTCTGCATGCTTGTCTTCCTCAGCCAGCATCACCTCCTCTGCAACACAAACACCATCCCATCATATTTGTGTCAACTTCAGTTACTGCTCAAATGTTTTATGTGTGCTTGTTTCTGACCAGCTTTGCAGATCCACTTCAGGTACCCGGTTAACTCTCTCTCCATCTGCTGCTGTCTGCGGAGCTTCAGGAACTCCTGCCTCTTCTCCACCCGCTCTCTCTCCTTGGCAAACTCCCTGTAGAAACCACAAAGAACCCCCACGAACACACACACAAGAACACACAGAAATGTTTATTAGATCTGACAAGCCAAAACAGAGACACTGGAGCACTCCATCTTGGACAGGTACACAGCCGGATGTTACAGGGGGAGAGCTGAACTCATCGTCTGCAGCAGCAGCATAACGGCCCATCCACACGGCGGCGTTAAAGCTTCAACACTTCTGCCCATTCACTTTGAATGGGGTGACGTCACGCTTTGCCGATCTGCATTGTGGTTCCGTCGCTTCGCTTTGCTCGCGTTGCTCTCTTCAAAAGTTGAGCAATGTTCAACTTTTGAAGCTTCGATGGAAACGTCAGCCAATCGAATCATATGCCATTACAAGCTCTAGCCCAGGTGTCGGCAACAGGCGGTCAGCGGTCCGGATCCGGACCCAGACGCCGACCTATGCGGACCCGGACCTATAATCATTACATTAATAGGGGATTTCAATTTTGACGGGGCGATTCTATATTAACCGCCGCCGACAGAGGGCGAAAGAGAGGAGTGAGCGATACAGGGAGAGAAACACAGAAGAAGAGACGTGAGCGCGGCAGAGAGAAGCGGAGAGGAAAGTGTGAAGAGAATAATTAGCGATACAGGGAGAGAAGCGGAGAGGAGAGTGAACAGGCAGGTTAGCAGCAGGCAGACAGGGAGAGACAAATAATTACACATGGCGCTCTCCAAGAAGAGGAAAGTGGACAGTGAGAACAGAGCTTTTAACCCTGACTGGACGGACTCATTCATGTTCATCCTGCCCACTGGAAGCACAGAACCAGTTTGTCTCATTTGTTCAGAGACCGTGGCGCTCATTAAAAGTGCCAAAACGCCACTTTGAGACAAAACACAAAGTGTTTGACCAAACATTCCCTCTCAAGTCAGAACTGAAGTCACAAAAAATAAATATCGTTCCAGCGCAGGCCAACCGAGGCTAACCAATGAGCACCTACATGTTTGTATGATAATGGCCCTGACGCCATTTAAGCCCCGATTTAAACTCCTGGCAGGACAAGCTCCAGCTCAATTCTCGCACTGAATAAAAAAAGTGAGTGAGGGACTGCAATATAAGACGGAAAGAAAGAGAAAACTTAAAACTTTTCAATTGTTATGATGTGTAAAGACTGATATTGTTCTATAATCGTCTGAAACTGTTAAGTCATTATGTGAAACGGTTAACAAAGAAAAAGGGAAACTCAAGCTGCTGCTACACTTTATTTTATTTATCTAAAATTAAGCACTTTAAGATGCACATATTTTCAAAAGCTATTTTATTTATTTTCTCTATTTTATTTTGAAATGCAGCCCGAGAGCAACATTACACATATCCACAGTATTTACTGTATATCTGTATAGTTTTATAGTTTCTTCTTATTACAGACACATGCATTTCCTAACATTTGGTCTACCTATGCTGTATAATGTATTATCTCTTCGATTTACACACGGCATCTATTGCACGTCTGTCCGTCCTGGGAGAGGGATCCCTTCTCTGTTGCTCTCCCTGAGGTTTCTCCCATTTTTTCCCCTTTAAAACTGTGGGTTTTCTCTGGAAGTTTTTCCTTGTACGATGTGAGGGTCTAAGGATAGAGGGTGTCTATCTATGTCTGTTGTATTTGCTGTAAAGTGTCTCTACTGTAGGCTATTTTTATACAGTACTTTGGCTCGACCAAAAATCGTTTATAAATGTGCTATATAAATAAAACTTGATTTGATTGATTTGATAGTTCAATGTTAATTGACAATAAATATTGTTGTTTATGAATTGTACTCTATTTATTTGATTGGCAGTCAGTTGTTGATTACATGCAGACGTTGATAAAGGTACAGGCTACTTCAATATATATCACACTAATTCATAAAGCAACTTAGACATTTTGATGTTCCGGAGCTTTGCATGGGGAGGTTTTCTCTAACTGGACCTCGTTGAATTTTAGTTGAATACCCCTGTCCTAGACGCTCAACCTAAATCCTACTGGCCATTATTTATTAAAGGCAACCTAATAGCTAGGCTGTGGGTCTAACCTAGATAGGTCTGTCTTAACCAGTGCTCTGTACATACCACCACTCTGGATCTGAAGTGACACCATGCATATTGTAATGTGGATGCTGCACTGTTAATTGTGGCATTTCTTTGGGATTTTTACGTTTACCAAGCTGCAAGGGTCTAAAGACAGAGGGTGTGTATGCTGTATGTCTGTAAAGCCTCCAATATTTAATAAACAATATTTGATTTGGATATGCAAGACATTTTGTACTGTGCCATTGCCTGGACATGACTCAAAGTCACTGTTCTTGAGTCTGTTTGTACAGCTCTTGATGGATCTGTACCGTTCACCAGAGGGCAGAAGAGCAAACAGATTGTGTCCAGGGTGGGACGAGTCCTTTACTATTTTGCCTGCTCTGCTCAGGCAGCGTTGCCTGAAGAGGACCTCCAAAGAAAAGCAGCGAGCAGCCTATTGCCCTCTGGCCGTGTTCATCAACCTCTGAAGGGCTTTCCTGTCCTTTTCTGAACTGCTGGCATACCATGTGGTTACACAGTATGCCAGCACGCTCACAATGGCACAGTGATGGAATGATATCAGAATGATTTATCCTGCAGGTTTGTTGTCATGAGGACCCTCAGGAAGTCTCTGCTGGGCTTTTCTGACCATGGTGGTTGTGTTTGTAGTCCAGGAGGGATCCTCAGAGATGTGTGTGCCCAATAACCTGAAAGCCGGTACCCTTTCCACACAGTTGCCATTGATGAATAGTGGCTCTGGTTGTGCACAGATTTTTCGGAAGTGTATGAGTTATTTCATTTTTGGGGAGTTGAGGGCAAGACTTTTCCCTGAACATCACACTGACAGTTTCTGTATTTCCTCTCTGACGGCTGTCTCATCTCCTCCTGAGATGAGTCCAACCACAGTTGTGTCGTCCGTGAACTTAATGATGGTGTTGGTGGAATGGTGGGGGCACAGACGTGAGTGTAGAGTGAGTAGAGGATGGGGCTCAGTTTTTAAACCAGTCTGCCTGGGATGACTTTGTTGAAGGCAGAACTAACAGAACTAACGTCTATAAAGAGCACCCTCACATGGTGGGTCAGTGCAGTATGAAGAGCAGTGACCATGGCATCCTCTGTAATGAAGATCGGATCGAATAGGCTAGGTTAAAATACCATTGTAGCTGCTACGTCCACTCTCACAATAACATCATACAGACATAAATAAAATGTTTATCTGCATTGATTTAAAATGTAATGACAAGGCGTGAACAATTAGCTTTGTGTCCTGTTATGAAAGCACCATAATACATTTAACATTTTCACTCAACAGCATCACTGGTTTCACAAAAGGGCAAGTTGAACCCTACACTGCTATCCTGTCTTTTTTAGCACATTTATTCAGCTTGGCTATAAAAGAGCGTCCTTTGAAGCAAAGCTAGTTTGTTGGAACTGAGATGTAACGTGGAGCGAGATTCCTTTTTCCTGACAAAAAGGAAGGGTCGCTGCTTTAGGATGCACAAATTGGGTAGGTGTTTCTCCTTTTGGGCAACTGTAATGATGACACTATATTGATTGCATGAACATTTGATAATCACAACAATTTATTTTACACAGCAGCTAAATCTAAATGCATGTTAATAAAATTGAAAAGTGTCTGACTGACTGGTTTGATTCCACACTTGTTTTTCCAGGGTTTCTTTTCATGGAACGTTAAGAATGTAGGCCAAACCAGCACAAAACTAAAAAGCTTCTACTTCCTGTTGCTTATTGCTCTACAACTCCTCAATAATCCACTTAAGTTCCAGTGCAAAGATAATTACCCACAGTGCCTACTCACTGCTGATTAAAAGCTCTCTACTCATCTTGTGAAAAATGTCTTTAGACATTTTGCAGGAGGGAGCATGAAGCAAGAAACAAAAACATGCATAATGAATCGTCCTACTTTCCATAAAAAAAGACAAAAGACGTGTTTAATCTTTCATTACTGTCTCTAGGGAGGTTATGATTCAACCCACCTACTTTAATCCCTCTACTCTACCTTTTACATTTTTCTTTCTCCCATTTAACCCACTTACGAACAAAACAGAGAAACTGATGCCAGTGCAATGTAGACAATAAGATGTAGATTGATGCAATTAAAGCAATTAATCACATGACCTTCTTTGTTGTCTTTGAGCAGTTACCCTATATCAGTTTCTTGTTTGTTTTTTCTCAATGTCAGTTTTGTTTTTGGTGCTGTAAGGCTATCGCTATTGGGTAATCCCTCCTGCACGTGTGCAGCACTGACAGACTTAATCCACGCCCACCTATGACGTGGGCCCCACCTCCGGGCTCACTTCCGTATAAATAGGAAGTAGGCCCTACCATCTACTCCCACTTTTCTTCAGCACTCCGTTGCAGAAGCACTGTCAGGCACAAAGCTCTTTTCAGAGCTGTTTACTAAAAAGCAAACATCCCTGGTTCCCCTGGGCCCATCCTCCCTCTCCTCCGGACGGGGGAAACAGGGCGTGGGCCCAGTGTCAACCCGACATATGAGTTACGACCGGAGCTCACGGTGTGAGTCCTGCCGGGGATTATAGCACGCAAACGCGGCTCTCACTCCCCAGGTGTCGTGCACTCATTATGTCCGTCTCCCTCTGGCCCACAGACAGTGGAGAGCGGACGCTCTCGCTGCTGCGGCCGAGGATGATTGGCTGGTCCAGGAGTCTTACTCTGTGGGCCAAGCCCTTTATTTATTGGATCCGAGTGGCGGGCAGCAGACAGGCGACTCCTTCTCCTCCATTCACAGTTCACCATGTGGTTCCCCCGCCCTGTCTCCCTCTCCTCCGGCGGGGGAGACGGGGCGGGTGCCCGGTGTCAGCCCGGTAGCCGAGCCTTGGTTCGGCTGCCGGGCTGACGCCGGGTCACCGCGTCCTTCTATCCGCCATCACGGCTCTGCCGTCGATAGGCGGTATTCTCCAGGAACTCCCGGAGATAATCCGAAAGGCAGCCGCCTAATGAGATCTCCCCGTTCCCCCGGTTCAGGAGAGCTCTCCGACGGATGACATGAAGAAAAAAAAAAGAAAAAGCGGCATAAGCTGCTGCCTCACGGCTCAAACCGGCTGTCTTTAAAACCTGTCGGCTAATTAGACAGGCCGGGTTTGTTTCCTATGTCACATATGTGCCTCCTACAC